TATGGATCTACGAAGGGGGACGGAAATTGGACTGGGATGATAGGACAAGTGGCCAATGAGGTAAAAATATTGCGTAATATTTGGTCCTTATTTGTATCAACACAACATATTTCACTTTTGAACAATAATTATTTCCTATTAAATTCAATTGTTACTAAGCCAATTTTTCCACATTTCTTTCTTAAACGTCGTTAAATTGTCACACTCAAAAAAAAAATATCACCTATACATGAAAGTGAACCAAAGAGCAATAGATATGGTAGATAAAAGCTGAAAGCGCGGCGGTCGTCGCGCAGCGCGTGTTCGAATTTCATGTAAATAAACAACGTATTTTACACGTGTTTTATACGTCGCTATGAGTCCCATATCTAACAGGATGCGGCGCGACGACTGCCACCCTTGAAAGAACGAGAGTAGTCAAAATACAAATGCAAACTTGTTGGCGCCAATCAAGTTCTTGCACGCTCAGGGTCTTGACGAATAATTATATTATATTATATTATTATATTAGCAAACAACATTTGCTTCATTTATTTATTCATTTGTCAATTTGGTAAAATACAAGCCTTCCGTCAATTTCACGACATTGGCCCAATATTACAGTCAAGCTGCCCTATTCGGAGCTAGGGTATGTAGGCGAAAAGTTTGCAAAAACAATTGGCGCTTTATCTCGCCATTGTGGGAAAACTTCACCAGAAATTCTGTAATAAGTGCGCGACTACTATTTATCACGGGCAGTGTTTTATCATTTCATGTATCATATTTTTTTGTCTGCAGGAAGTTGACTTGGCCGCAGCTCCTATTACGATCACTTCAATACGGGAAAATGTTGTTGACTTCTCCAAGCCATTCATGCACACTTCAATACGAGCTCTAATGAAAAAGCCATCGGTTGATTCGAAGACAACAAGCTTATTTGGTATCTTCACGCCGTTCACTTTCTGGGTGTGGATTTGCATCGTGATATCATTTTTAGTAGTCGGACTTGTCATGTTCTTTCTCAGTCGTATGAGTCCCTACGGGTGGAGGGCGCTGTACACGCGGGGCGAAGTGTCCTGGGATGAGGGCCAGTACTTCAATTGTCTTAACTCTTTCTGGTTTGTAATGAGCACATTCACCTTACAAGGATATCACAACGCTCCTAGATCAGTTGCAACACGTTTTCTTAGTGGAATTTGGTTCTTTTTCACTCTCGTCATACTTTTTGCGTACTTATCTAACCTGGGGGCTTTCCTTACCGTAGAAAGAATGGATCATCCCATACAAAATGTCGATGATTTGTCCCGTCAAACAACAATTCGCTATGGCACCAACGAGTTCGGCGCGACAGCTGTATTCTTCCGCAATTCGAATGTACCAATCTACCAACGCATGTGGGAGTTCATGAGTGAAGCCGTACCAAGCGTGTTTACCTACGGCAGCGAGGAGGGTATCCAGCGAGTAATTAAAAGTAACGGTCGATATGTCTATTTCGGGGAAAGCGCGTTACTGCAGTATGCCGCCTCTCGTGATTGCAGCCTTTCATTAATGCCCGGGGCTCTGAACCTGAGATCCTACGGTTTCGCATTCCCCACTGGCTCGACGCTTCGCGATGAGTTCTCTGGAGCAATTTTAGAACTTCAAGAAAATGGTAATCTGCAGTTGCTTTACACAAAGTGGTTTTTTGGTCCATGTTCGTCTGAGCAAGAGGATCTAGAAGACGATGATAGGGTCAGGGTAGCTGCATTGCCGCTGGTCAACCTGAGTGGAGCGTTTATCATTCTCTTGATTGGAGTTGCTATCAGTATTCCGCTAGCTTTGTGTGAATGGGTGTTTTACAACCGGTCTGACGGCAAGAGGAGGGTGAGTCATGTTACAGATTTCTAAAATTTAATCGGGAATAAGCCACTTATTCTATTCGAGATACTTAATTAAAGTCAAAGTAAAATCTGAGCTAGAAAGAACTGGAGTCCCTGAAAATATCTGAGAAATATGCATACCTTTCTACAGATTCTAGCATTCCGACCCAAGAAGCTATAGTATAATTATAATAATTGTTATAATAATATATTTATTTACCCATAATTGTTACACATAGGAATATTTACAAACACTGTTGTAATGAAAGTTGTCATGAGTAAAAGGAACCTAAATAGCTACAGAGCTAATCGAATCAGATCCCTTGTACAGGTTTATATAAAATTAAATATTATAGTGACAGTAGACACTAAAATATTGAAACAAATAAAAGAAGGAAAAACGACATATTAAAAATTTTAATAATACTGATAATATGTCAAATATATATAAATAACCACTTCAAATATTCTGATAATAGCTTTTCTTGTTTTTTTTTCCTTTCTCAATGCCATGGGTAGACTGTTCCATAATTTTGGACCTAAATGAGATATTGCAAATGTACCAATTGCTGTGTTCATTTTTGGGATTGAGATATCATTTCTGTTTTGTTGTCTAGTATTATGATTGTGTTGAATATAATGCAGGTTCTGTGGTGTGTTAACAATATCGTGCAAAAACATAAAAAGGAGAAATTTGTGTAGTTTATAAATGTCAAGAATTTTAAGCTGGTTGAAATTATGGGCAGTAAATTCAGAAAATGTTATAATTCTTGCAATCAATTTTTGGGTAGTGATGGATATGTACTTCCCCCGATTACTTCCAGTTCGTACGTAATATGAGGTTGCATTAATGAATAATATAATAACAAAAGGGTATGCTTTGGAATATGATGACTTAATTTTTAAAAAAATGAGAGTCTTATTCCTGATCAGCTTATTAATTTTCTTAATATGATTTTTCCATGTTAAATGTTTGTCAATTTCAACCCCAATAAAGGTAGCGGATTCGTGCCTAAAACATTTTGTGTTAGTGACATTGTACACTATATTTGGGGACATATTCACTATAATAATTTAGTATTTTTCAATTACCCTTCAGGAAAAAGCAAGCAGTTGCAATTAGAAATGTTTTGGGTGTACTATTATTATATGACTTTAATACCCTCATTATTGCCCGGATGTGCGATATGTTGTGTTATGAATTCGTTGTTGACAACATGATCTCAGGTGTGTAATTGCATACTAGTGGTATTACACACAATACTGCAATCGACGTTCTCTAATTAATATGAACTAAAATCAAATATCTTTTTCTTTTTTCTTGCAATCAGAAATCAGACGCACCGAAGTCAGATTCCGGTGCTCAAACTGTCAGTGGTGTATAATGCGGACATTAATTATTGACGCCGCCCAGCTGTTGAAGGCCTGGCGACGAACCCAGGGCAATGAGTAAAGCGAGGTGTTTCCGTTAAGGTTGATATCTTATAAAATAAAATTGTTTTGAATAATTATATAATTGTAACAAAATACTACATTCATAATTACTCAATATACATTTCTATATACTATATATCCATTCATTCTGTTTGTTTTAAACGTGTCTCAAATGTATACGTTTTGATTTTTCTGAGGTTTGGCTGTAAGGACGAATTTACATAATGATCATTTTAAAACAAGTGAAAAATGTTCTTCAATTGTATTTGAAAATGTTATTGGATAATTTCCTTATTATGTCTATATCATTTGTACTGAGTAGTGTTAACATTTATTGAATTTGAATATTTGAATTCTTGAAATAAGCTGAATATGAGAAAGTTAAATTCATCCTTAATTTGACATTTCTTGCATTCTGCCGTTTAGTGAAATTTTAGAATTGGGGTATGATTTTAACTTTCTTTAAATGAATAATTAATGTTTTCATGAGTGACTGTTTTACTATGGGCTTTTGTTGAATCTATTTAGTGACTTACTTTTAAAGTGTTGTGAATCGTATTTGAGAGTTCGTTTAAAGTCACCATCTTATAGCGTGGTTTAGATATTACTATAACCATGCACCCCACAAACGAATGTCAAGGTGCGCTGGAGGTTGCGCATTCACAAACGTTCGCGTATTGAATTAAATGTTGGACATGGAAAAGTTTATAACTAATGTAAAGTTGAGTTATACAAACGAGACACACTTCTAGATTGAGAAGTTATGATTTACCCTTAGGTGACAACGTCTGTAGTAATCGGTACGTTTTTAGATTCTCTTTATCAACTATATTACTAAAATACCAAACCGGTCGTAATCGTAGCATAATTATGTATACCTATTTTACCAAACCAGTGAAAATCGTTTTCACAAAAACCCTCACAATGCATTCGAAATTTCTACCCATTTTCGAACCTTTTTTTAAATATATGTAGCTTCGTTTCAAGGCATTTAACCATGTTGCGTTAATCACTACTTTTCTAGCCAAAATTAAATGCGAACGGTTTCCTCCACTCGGCAATTTTGTTGGTTAACATCGTTATATCTACTTTGTAGGATAGCACATCGGAGAAAAAACGATAATTACTGGCTTGGAAATAGTTGAAAATCGTTTTGACGGTATTCGAGGTATTGCTTGTCAGTGCGTATTAGTACTTGAATGTATAATTTTCCTTCATGCATGAATCTGTGAGAATTTTTCAGTTTGCATTTGAACTGTACAAAAAAATGGGGTACATTGTTTGTTTGTTTGTTTTTCGGTAACTCCGACTTTATCCAAACCAGAGTGTGTCTAGATTATATGACTTTAGTTTATACAGCTCAATAATTAGTTTGTTATTCCTGCGATATAACCAGGACATACTAACAGCCCTTGTCAATTTCCCAAGCACGTTGTCACTAGCGATACATTTTGGTGCTAATTCAGTCGAGGACAGTCCCTGTATTTCAAAATCAATTTTATCGTACCTGAAAGCAAAACGTCTTAATTGTAAGTATTCCAAGTTGTATTATTATGTATAACAAATAATTATTGAGTTTTATAAATGACACGATCACTTTTTACGAATGTGTTTTATAATGTAACACACTGTTCACTTTTGAGTTAAAGGGCGGTAGTCGTCGCGCCACGCATGCGCGAGATATATGGGCCTCATATAAACAAAGATGGCGACTTTGACTGTTGAGCAGATTAACGACTACAAATTGAGACGTTACCAAGCTTTAATTAGGTTTGTTTTAGGTGATTGGAGGAAGGTATTGAAGGAGTCACCGGCGGTAATTAGTGCAAGTCGCACCCAGGTCAAACCTCATACTTGTTATTTTTATTAGAAAAGCGCATTGGATTGTGGGAAAACCAATGTTTATCAGCACAGATGTCGCACATGCGCAGCGCGACGACCACCGCCCTTTAAAGTATATTTGGTGAAATGTTTTTGAAATGTTCGTTTTTTAGTGTAACCTATACGGAATTGTTCGACATCATTCAATGGTTATTCATTTGATTGAAGTATTTTCGAATTATGTGTGAAGTACATTATTTAGGTAGTTTAACCAAAAAAAAGGTAAAAACAAGAAAAGAAAAAAAATAGGTGTACGTTATTGCTCATTGACAGTACTTGTCATCTATAGTGTATGTATGGAACTAATTGTATTTGATTTATATTATGTCCATACCATGCAACTAGCTGCAACCATGCAACTATTCAGGACTAACACCCTTTCCTTGCCCATATCGGTGATGTTCGCGTGAGTTACTGCACGGAATCAAAAGACATCGCATTGTGTGGATCAAGAATATTAATACAGCAGCTAAATCAATACTACATCGTGGATATTACAGTTCGTCATATGATAATCCTTAATAATGTGCCCGTCCTGAGAGGTTATTAGTAATAGCCTTGTAATGCAGCGCCCTCACAGTTGATAACATTTATTTCAGTCTGATTTGTGAGCGATTGTTGACATTTGGGATTTTGAGTGATATCCTAGTTTTCTTATATATGTGTGTTTATGTGTAATATTTGTAGGTGTGTTAATAGAAGAAAAATTTCACGAGTTCATTTCGACCGGAAATGTCTTCGGGATCTCTGTAATTTACGTATTTAAAACAAGTGTTCATAATTACATGGGACGGTGATCTTTTGGGAAAAAAGTCACAGTGACGCCACAGGGCAGAGAGATGTGAGGGCGAAGCCCAAAACAAGTTCCCGATGTCCCATGGTGTGAGTTACTTATACACTGGCTGCTTTATAAATAGTCTCCCTATAAAACAAGTCATTTTCTAATTTCCGCAATCTATTGACACTGACCACAGCTTAATTTAACAAATTTCAAACCACAGTTAATACTGGTAGAAAGCTATTAAGATTAATTTGATCCGTCAATTTTTCTTTGATACATTGATGTAATCAATCATGTTATCCCTGAACTTTGACATTTAGGTTTCTTCCTCAAAATAGAGACCCCAAGAATGTAGGGCGTTTACTCTCTGCTAGGTTGTCAACATTATCCTCTGTGGTGTTAGCAGTGAGCAAAACATATTTCATAAAGATTCAACTTTCAAGTTATTTTTTATCTGTACCACTGAATGTTGCTTGCTGACGATGCTTTCTCGCAATAAAGGCATTTTCTTTGCTCGTGAATAACTTGCTTGTGTGTATTATTCGTGTTCTGATTTAAACCATGTGTATTGATTTCATCGTCAACGTTACAGTAAAACATTGTTCAGATACAAATATGAATTCATGCTATCAGTGTGGTATGAGTAGAATTTAAAATATAAATCATTAACAAAAAATCCGAAAAAATCTGTCGTTAGTGGCGTTAGTTTGAGGTGTTTACTGTTTTTTTTTAAATCACTTGTGCATAGAAGTAGAAAGCATTCTTTGATTAATGTTGCATATTGTAAAAGCATAGCTATCAACCAAATAAGCTAAGACCCTAAACAATTGTTTTTTTAAACAATGTATAACTTGAGGACCAGTCTAATTAATAAGTGGAATTAGTGCTTAAGGGGTAAACTACTCGCTTATTTGACTAATTCCATTACATATCACGAAAATTGTTAGTCACAATAATAAAAACGATCAGGACCTGATTAATGCAATCCGTGGGTATATAGTATAATATTCAATTTGGTTAAAATATTTTTGGATTCTTTACGATTTATTAGCGTCATTTAACGATACAAAAACACTATGTGATCATAACAGTCTTTGGTTTTTTTGCAGTATGTAAGCAAACAAAAAAATGGTAAAATATAATAATGACATTTCTCAGATTATGTAACTAAGTTGTAAATGTAACATTTTTGAAATACATATTCACGTGATAATGTTAGTATGATGTGTCCAGAAAACTCATCATGTATTATATATGTATTAATAATCTGAGTAATTAATTCGCGCCAGAACAGGTAACGTTAATAGTCAATCGCAAAATTAAACATTTTAGATTACAGACGTGATTCAAAAACTATGATACAAATGTTCATTGCTGTTTACGTGATATATTATATAGCTACATGTAATTGCGACAATTAATTACGTGATTCAACTAGTAGAAACGTTTTTCACGGGCCTTTATGTTTGTTAGTTTGTTTGTTTGTTTGTTAGTTGAACAAAAATTTTAATAAACAGCGTCCTCGTGACGCACTAAATACTGATATAATAATGCGCAGGTATTACTACCAAACCTGATGTGACGAAACTGGAGTGCTTTTGTCATATCATTCTTCTTGACCATGGCAATGGTAGATTTGTATTGCGAGTTGGACCATTTGATGATTCCTCTTCTTTAACATCTTCTACACTTTTCATTCAATTCTTCCTCCTTGGCTATGGTACAGAGTAAGACCTTGTTCGTATGGGGACTGAAGTAGTAAGCTATATTTTGTGCTTAATTTAATTAAAGCGCGTCAGTCGTCGCGCTGCGCATGTGCGAGATATATGGGTCTCATATAAACAAAGATGGCAACTTTGACTGTTGCGCAGATCAACGAGTACGAACTGAGACGTTTCCTAGCTTAAATTAGGCAATTTTCATGTGATTGGAAGGTATCGAAGGAGTCACCGTCGGTAATTAGTGCAAGTCGCGTCCAGGTCAAACCTCATACTTGTGATTTCCATTTGAAGAACGCATTGAATTGTGGGAAAATCAATAATTATCAACACAAATGTCGCACATGCGCAGCGCGACGACTACCGCGCTTTAAATTGTGTTGTCCTTGCTTATTCATTGAGTAGTCATATATCAAATCATTCACCACTCTATTTTCTTCCTCATCAGTTTCTATCACTGTTGCTGCTCTAACTGCTGCAAAACATGTTTCTTATTTGGTAGTGTCGCATCATCATCTCTCACCTGGTATTTTCGTAGCAAGTTTATGTGGTACACCTTGACCTTTCACAAACCTTGACCTCATAAACTAGGTCATTTACTATTCCCACTACATCATATTCATCCTTCAAATGCACCTTAGTAACATTGACAACAATCAAGTCATATATAAAAGTAATCATAAACATGGCTTCAGTTTTACCTGTGTACCATGAAGTGATTGCTCTCACCGTGACTTTCGGCCAAATATTCTCACCACTGATGTCTAGTTTGCAGGATACTGTAGTCTCCCTGTCACCACTATTTCCTCCTTTACTGTTTCTCCATGCATGGCTATTTCTTCTTCCAATCCTAATATACCACTGCCTGTAACTACCATCTTTTTGTTTCTACTGATCGTATTCACTTCTTCCAATAACTGTTTTTTTTCTGAATGGACTGTCCAAAGAATCAATTGCATATGAATCAGTTGTATATGAAGCATAATCTTTCATTCACCTGTGTCGCATTTCATCATCTCTCCTTTTGCATCATTCCATTTTACATTCACTCCCCTGCCCTCGTCTTCATTCTTTCTCTCAGCCTCCTTCAATTTTTTCCTGCTCCTCTTAATCCTGCTTGATTATACACTTGTCGTTTTCCATCTTAAATGTTAAAATCACCTGTACACTAAATTATTCTAGGTTGCAGTGTGTAGCAATAAGCATTTCATCGTCCAATCAGCTTATCACACAAGGGCAATATACTTATCCTGGTAACTACACATGTATACATTCTGTCCTGTGGTCACTTGTTTTTGCTTGTCAAGACCTATTTCTGTATTATGCCCCATTTTTCTGACAGGTGCAAGCAGCTCTTACACAATGTTCTTTCTCAAATGTATTAATATTAATACTGTTTGGGGATCTACGAACATCGTCAAATAAAGCATTTTTCCAACTTTTGAAATAACAATCTCTCTCTTTCTTTCCAATTAACAACGTTGTTTCATCAATCACTTGGCTGGTATATCGAGGTGAGCGCCCTCTACTAATGGACGGCGTGTGTGGGTACATTCCTGAACTTTAACCTTTACTACTCGTAAACATGTGGTGGTTCTCGTGGTGAGTACACCAGTGGATGATCGGTTTGCTGAATGCAGTGTTTCATGATTTGATCATTGTTCTTATTTATTAATAGAGACTACATTTATGTAATTCCACAAGTGAAAATATTAACTCCAAATGCAAAACATGGTGACGTGACAGAAACGAGAAATGGTTCGCTCTCTCCTCGAGATCGCATCGCGGTATGTCGCTGAAAACATTCAGTTGATGGGGTACGAACTGATTCAAGGTAGTGTGTAGACCCAGTCGCTTGTTATCTGTAACTAAACACGGTGCATAATCAATTAATAATACACCCCTTCCAAACAACAACCCCCCCCCCCCGCACACAAACATGAGTTTTGCAGCCTACTATGAGATCTCGCATAATGCGTGATAGTAAGAGTGGTCTATTGAATACAGTACAGTAACAAATAGAAAAAGTAAATTTTTGTACACCTCTAATCCTAACTCTAACCCTCACCCAGGCACCCTCCGCCCAATTCAATTGTGTATAGGTACTGCTTCTAGATCTGTGCCTGCCCGTCTACTGTGAAATACTTTATTTTCGCTTGGAATTCATTTTCGCTGAAGGAATGATTAAGTGAAAAAAAAATAAAGCGAATATACCTTTTTTTCTATATTTTACATTTACCTCGTCAAAAATCAGTGAAAATAAATTACATACAAAATGCAGAAAAAGTCTTTTCAGCAAAAATTAATTCCAGCAAAAAGAAAGTATTTTACAGTATAAAAGTGACCTTAATAAGGATTACACAAATAAATTGGGGAGTGTATGAGGGCGCAGGTTACTGTCGGGTACAAAAGAAACTCCTTCACTCTGCTTGTGTTATGTTCAATTGACCATAAATTAAATATTCAGTACATGTATGTATTCATGTCAACAAATATATATATACGATAGACTATACTATGTGTCTAATGCTGCCATTACTAGTATGCGTGGTTATCACTTGTGGCCCAGATTGATACAAAACCCTGGCAGTAAATTGCTTGTGTCTGCTGACATCATCCTATAGAATTACATATAAATACTCAAGTATTAATTTGATACCAAGTCAGGTATGTCTTAAAAAATGTATGTGTATATTCCATACACATTAGATACCAGAAGAAAAAATATGATACTCAAAATTAAGGAAAAAAATAATTCTCACATCCTTGCGTTTCTGGTGGTCAACCCCAAATGATGTGGATCCTCCTAACTTGGCTTTTTCCTATCAAGTAACAACCCCACCCAAATTCAGTGTTGAGGTACTACAAAATTTAATTTGGAAGATGAAGATACTTTTTACTTTTTCGTATAACCATATACATTTGTTTGTGTGTATAGTGATATGTAATGTAGATATATACTGGTATATCAGAAAATGCATGGATTCTGATTGGTTACCATTAAGGTTCAATTATGGTTTCTTAACCACATCATGATATCATAATCAGCATCCATGATGTCATAATTAGCTTCCATGATATCATAATCAGCATCCATGGTGTCATAATCAGCATATATGAAGTCATTATCAGCATCTATGATGTCATAATCAGCATATATGATGTCATAATCAGCATCTATGATGTCATAATTAGCTTCCATGATATCATAATCAGCATCCATGGTGTCATAATCAGCATATATGAAGTCATTATCAGCATCTATGATGTCATAATCAGCATCTATGATGTCATAATCAGCATCTATGATGTCATATTCAGCATCAATGATGTCATATTCAGCTATTTTGAAAGCTCTTGTAACAGTTTGTAATGGTAAACTGATATCAATATTGATATTTTGTTTTTAAAACAATGAGCTAACAGTATATTGCAATACTGCCGGTTGGATTGCCTTTTTCATTTGCATTTATTCCACTAAAGGGTTAAACTCAATGCTTGTGGCGTTTACTACTAATTGTTATTTTTAACTAGGGCCAAAAAAAAACATTAATATTCATGTGAAACATAAACATTTTGAGAAGAGGGCTATATGTTCATTATTGGTATTTGAGCAGTACTGTTTATTGTAAGTTATAACTCTCTATCTTGTACTTCTTCTGCAGACTATGTTCCTGGACCATTATTGTTATCAATCTTGCCACATTTGAATGTATTTGATTTGTACCAGCTTCATGATATTGTGATTTCAAAAGGTATTGCTAAATTTCTTTTTTTTTAACTTGTACATATACCATACTTCGCCGAGTATAAGCCCAGGGGCCTGAATATGTAAAATCGGGAAAATTAGGGGGTTGGCTTATACAAAGAAAAGTCAGTGTTTTTCCATGCATACTTGAATTTCATTAATGGTTACAAGGTAGTAAATTGTCCAATAATTTAAGAGAACCAGGGTTACCAGCTTTACCTCATGGGTAATAGGCATTACCAAATGATTTCTACAGGTCATTGCACTGTGACGTAATATGTTTAGACCAGCATGCAAACATGTGATAACAAATGTTAGTCACGGATCCACACAGGCTTACAATCTACTGTGATAATAATGCCCATAGGTTGCTTTATTACATGTGTATTTAATAACAACAGCAGTAAACTTCGCCACTAGCCAATAAAAGTGTATTGTTTATTTTTTAATAAGGAGTATGAAGGTCTTCCAGGGTATATAATGTTTCCCTAAAACATGTACATGCCTTTGTGAAATTCACTGTAGTTGTGGTGTCTTTGATAAGAGACATTGTTTGTCATGTACGTGTTCACATTACCGACTGCTCTTTACATATGTCAATGCTTCAACTAGAGGTGTATTTATAATTGTAATAGGTATTGATCCCCAAGTGTTTTGGAAAGAACATGCAATTAAAAGGTGGCCAAGAAGATATACACACGAGGGAATCCATTGGTTTTGGAATGGAGTTCAACATATCGACTCTACGGCCGGCAAGCCAACTAACTGGCTGCAAACCTATCTTTCGAACCACATCAATAATATTCTACGCATCTATTTTGTTTCAACAAGCAAGATAGGTAGGTAATATGAGCCCCCTAACTGAATATTAGTTTTCTACGTTATAAAGGTAAACACTCCCAATATCTATGTACAATAGTATGTGGTGAATATCTTGTGATTTCATGAGTTCACAGCACACATCAATAGATCATATTTCAATCAATGGTTTCTCAGAACGCAGTTTACGCTTTGATTTCATAAACAAAAATTAACGAATTGAACACAAAATTCAAAATCTGCTAAATGTATGTAATACGCACTTTAGACACTTTGTGAATATGAAAGGCTGGTTGAGACAATCATTAACAAGTTCTTTTGACAGACTTCACTGAAAGTACAAGACTGGCTAGTCAGCTGACTGTATTTACATGACCTACATTTGTATAAAAAGCCCCTGTAAAATTTGGTGAATCCTAAAATTTGGTTATTTTTCTTGAACTGTCTTGCATGATGAAAGTGCTTTATGGTGTCATATTTTAATAAAAATTTGAGTTATGTGGAGATTCTTAAATATACACTTAAAAAAGTAAAACAAACTTTTGACTTTTGAGTAAAATTTCTTAAACGATGTATGCATAATTGGTTGTTCTTTGCGTCTTATCAGATGCAGTTGAGGTGGAACTAATATATTTGTAAACAGTGTCTGAATATTATTTTAATTTTCTAGTGCCCTTGGATTACCATCTATTGGTATATTCGTGATGTAATATGGACAAGAACATTATATTTTTAGTGGCGTTCACATTAGAGATCTTGGCACGAGCCGACACTCGGGGCCGAGTCGGGACGTGCCGAAACTTGTGTGTGAACGGTCGGGACCAAGTCTGCACATGCCACAAAAAACTTGATCTCGGTCCCGATAGATACTTGTGACCGAAACTCGGCTCGTCCCGAGATTTGCTGCCTAAACACTCGGCACGAGCCGAAATCACTCCCTCGGTAATATATGTGCTGAATCATACTAGTATGAAATGACGATGACAGGAAATGCAAATATACTAGTATATGGACGGATGCTGTAGTAATGAATGAAATGAATGCAAACCGTCGTCAGCGACGCATATTCATATGATACTGCAACCGCTATTTTCTTGCAATAATACACAGACGTGAAAAAATTATTTTTAATTGTTTTTTCGAACCTTCTTCACGAATCTTCTCGCAATAAATACCATAACAACAGATGGATATAATTTCAATATAGCAATTATTATTATCATGATATGCGTATCGTTTTCCATGTTTGGGTCAAATATTAGATAGACGAATGAGAGCGTGATTTCGGCACGAGCCGTGTCGGCCCTAACTGGGTACCGAATAACGTGAACGCAACTGCTGTAATCCCTTTGCAAACACAAAGGATTAAAAAATGTGTGTAAAGCATTTCTCTTATCATCATTGTGCCGACTTCTATTGAACTTAACAACTACCAAGTGACTACAAACCTACCAAGTGACGACCCTCACTATTTTTCATAATTTTTATTAATATTTAATCAAATTTAAGTCAAGTTTGCATAGCTTAGGATTATTAAAAGGGAAGGTGTGATACAATTTTTATTAATATAACTCTACCATACCTACCCCATTTACTAACTCCTAGGCTCTGCAGACTTTTCTATGTTAAATCACAGGATGTATGACCTTATTTCTACTTTGTTGCAATTTTATTTAATTAAACTTCAATTAAATCGCAATCGCAATATAGACTTGCATTTTAATCCAAACATAACGCAACTATATTTAAAGTTAATTCAGCTATATTGAAAGTTAATTCAATGTGTGTGGTCACAACAACGGTAAAACATGCGTGTCTGTCCGCCTGTTCCACTGATATCTCAAGAACCGTATGTTGGTTTTTTATGAAACTCTATGCTCTGCTCTGGGCTAATGCACAGATATGATTAGGTTTTGGTTTAAATCCATACGTGTTAATTACCTAATTTGCATGATAATTGTCTAGTTTTTAGGTGTTCCATGACTTTTCCACAGATATCTAAAGAACCATTTATTGGATTTGATGAAACTTATTATTTATCATATTAATATTAATACCCAATTTGCATTATTAGTTAATTTGAATAATTTAAAAAATATATGCTTGCTGAATGTTTCAAGTGAGACAATGTTAAGACAATTCTTTATTTGAAAACATTGTTACAGCTGTCTTATCACAAACTTTATCCAATAATATCTGTGTTCACTTACAGATTATGGATCATTCCTAACAGTAGTTTTCACCAACCCATTTTCAGTTGTGGCTACTGCTAGAGATGTAACATTCACAGAAGTTCATCCTGAGCGACTAATCAGAAGTTTTCTCTCTGACTCTTCTAATAACCATCTAAAAATAGATGAGAAAATGATAGAACATTTACTCAACTGTACCATAGCTCTTGACTACTTGAAGCAGCATTCAAAACGTTTAAGTCTATATCGTTGTCGCACCGACAGCGTACTTGAACTTGTCAATGTACTGACTAGAAATGGCGTACTTGAAGAACTACATCTGATAAACTGTTTTATCAAAGATGAAGTCATTCGTCCGTTGTTTCTGAAATGCTCCCCAACTAATAAATGTAAGGATGGACTATGTTGCCATGGCAATGCTTTGACAGTTTACAAGCCGGAAGAAGAAGTTGATGATTTGTTTGATATGGCTGTCGCTGGAGATGATGAGAGACAAAGTTGTGCACGAAATAAACATGTTGATATAATTTACAATTGCCATGGAAATAGAGGTTTTGATGGGAAAGAGGTAGAATTATACGAAGGATTAGAACCATCAGAAGCTGTGTTCCCAGGGTTACGGTCATTGGTGCTTCAAGGTGTTTGGATATCAGTTTCAGCCGCTAAGGTTTTAGGTCAAGAGTTAAAGAACTGGAACCGACTGACAGCTCTGACATTGAATTATTGTCGTAAGTATGTAAAAAGCCTGGGAGTCGTCTCACTACATGCATTTGATGGGTGCCATGTGACTATAGATTTATTATTTACACAGAATATGAATGGATTGATGAGAGTGGGCAGTCTCACTTTCATCATTGTGGCAACAATCACTTGATAAAGCATGTGGGGAACTGTCATCCATTGTTTTGAAAATTAGCATATTCAAATTAGGAGCTATAATTATCAACCAATAATAGTATGATTCCGAACTGACCATGGAGGTAAAATTTTGCAATCACTCAAGACTTCAGTAGAGAGTCAGTACTGGCTTGTATGTGAATGTTTAAACTTCAGGCAGTGATTCTCAAGTATAGGAAGTTCTTGTCAATATGGTCTCTTTAATGATCATCTTATTTTGTATTTGTCCTAATACTTTTGGAGATACTATAGGAACCAATCATAAAAACAAAACAAAAATGCCATTACTGATGTATTTAAATGGTAATAATCATTTTCTCAAAACAAATTGTTTGGCCGCCCGAGCTTTGTTTGTACCAAGATTCTTATAGATACATTGTATATTAGCTCAGTCATAATACAAGATGATGAAATTTAGACACATTCTGTGTTATTTCATTTAATGTGTAGGCTTATACTTTGAATACTGATATATCTATGATATGTGTCAATTTCATTCTCCATAATTCTATTTTGTTTCTATTTCAGCCCACCATAAGGACTGTGCAGTATACAAGTACATTTTACAAGGACTTATAGACGGCAGTAAAAACAGTCACCTGACTCATCTAGTTATATGTGACTATGATACGTTGCCAAAACTTCAAGTACTCCAACTTATTCACTGCTATACAAGGTGAGAATTGTTGAGTCATCAGTAACAATGACAACCTAATTGTGAATTAAATAAATAAATATATAAATAAAAGGGTGGTAGTTGTCGCGCCGTGCATGCGCGAGATATGGGTCTCATATAAGCAAAGCAAAGATGGCGATTTTGACTGTTGCGCACACAAACAAATACAAACTGAGAAGTTTCAAAGCTTCAATAAGATTTTTTTTTGGTGTTTGGATGGTATCAAAGGAGTCATTGGCGATAATTAGTGCAAGTGGTGTCCAGGGCAAAACTAGTACTGGTGATTTAATTTAAAAAGCGCATTGCATTATGGGATAATCAATATCTATCAACACAAATGTTGCACATGCGCGATGCGACGGCCACCGCCCTTGAATGAATGACTGAAAGCAATTGTTGGAAAATATATAAAAACTACCATCTCAGCTGATTGTGAATCTGAAATGCACATTTGTTCGTTATAGGTGTGAATCTGAAAGTGCAAGATTCGTAAAGTTTGACCTATCCTATACAGAATTGAGTTTTCTAGAAGATGAATCATCAACTCTATTCAGTCACAACAGTTTTGCTAATGGTATGTACGTATACTGTACACAGACATCGTAAACGCAGAGAAATATATATGCATTATGCATGTAATATTCAGATTGCAACAAAACTATGCAATCACCTAAAAAAGTGATGAATATCTATTTGGGATTATGCCAAGCTGCTAATTATCTATAGCTGTATGATAATAGTATATACAATTCCCAACTTTCCACAAATAACCCTGAATAACTCACCACATATAGTTTTTCCTTTCAGTGCAAACTCCGTTCAGCTTCGCTTATAGCCTCAGCTTAGGAGGGATGAGACTGAGAAGCCTTGATGATATCACTGGCCTGTCATTTATGATGAAACATGACGCAGCACTACGTCATCTCAACTTAAGTGACTGCTCTTTAATGTATGAACAGCTAAATTGTGTATTTCAAGCAGTGACTGGTAAGTTGTCATATTTGAGTAGAAACGTGTTCATCAACATGACATATGGTGTATATTCACTTTGAACTTGCCATCAACATGACATATGGTATATATTCACTTTGAACTTGCCAACAACATGACATATGGTGTATATTCACTTTGAACTTGCCATCAACATGACATATGGTGTATATTCACTTTGAACTTGCCATCAACATGACATATGGTATATATTCACTTTGAACTTGCCATCAACATGACATAT